TCTCTGCCCCTCGCCCTCCCCCCCCCTCTCCCAGGGGGCACAGCACCACAGGCTTCATGCCTTCCCAGCCCATGACCAGACAAGACCGCTCAAATCAGGAGGTACTGGGCCCTGCCAGAACCCGATCCGGAGGAGTACTCCCGACCCCCCACTCATTCGGTTCCGTCCCCTTCGCCGGGCCTTTAAGGAACCCCCATCACCAGGCCAGGTACTCAGGCCGAAGCCAGCACAGCGGCTCCTTTCCCCTCCCGCCACTGATGAGGACAGATACTACACTTGATCTTAGCCAAAAGGCCGAGAAGCGGTCTGCTGGGCCCCTCCCACGGCTCATCTCCCTGCACAGTGATGTCACTTTCACAAGGTAATACCTGGGTTTGTAGCCGTCCTTGTACAAAGCGTTGTGACCATTGAGGAGTGTATATAGAGATGAGTCCAGTGTGGAGTATACATGGTCCTGGTCTCCCTCCCGGCTGTGATATCTGTTCCTTCTCTTGCAGTTTGCTCCTGCAGCACCTTGTTCCTGCCTGGGACACGACCTCCAAACCAGTAAGTTCTTCCACCTGTATTCTAATAGGAGTACTTTCCTTTTCCTCCCTGCTGATGTCACTTCCTGTCAGGGTCACAGGAATTGTAACGGTATTGGACATGAGCTTAATTAAAAGGGGGAGGGGCAATGGGCTGGAGTGTCCTGAGCTGTCAATCAAGCAGGTAGGCCTGGGACCGGAAGTCTCCTAGACTCGGTCCAGCTACATTTTGCTAGCAGACCATGTGACTGAGGCTCCTCCCACCGCAGCGAGCGACAGGGATGTACACAGGAAGTGACATGGTGGCCAGGGAAGGAGTGAACATGGTGGCCATCGGTCCCGGAACGTGGCGCCATTATACAGCAGCATAAAGGGGGAGGGGCAATGGGCGGGAGTGTCCTGAGCTGTCAATCAAGCAGGTACGCCTGGGACCAGAAGTCTCCTAGACTCGGTCCAGCTACATTTTGCTAGCAGGCCATGTGACTGAGGCTCCTCCCACCGCAGCGAGCGACAGGGATGTACACAGGAAGTGACATGGTGGCCAGGGAAGGAGTGAACATGGTGGCCACCGGTCTTGGGACGTGGCGCCATTATTCAGCAGCATAAAGGGAGAGATTTAATGTACAGATTTCAGGTGGGAGGGGCTTCATCTAACCCGTATTCTGGGGCCAGCGGCGGGTGACGTCTCCGGTTCTGTATCTTTCAGATGAGGAAGGCCGTGCGGGAGACGGTCCAGTCGTTCTGTGTGACCAATGAGGAGTTCTCGGCCAAGGATTCACACGCCAAGGACATTGAGGTGTGCAAGTCGGCGTGCCAGGTACGTGTCCTCCTATGGGTTTGGAAATCTATGATGTCGCGTGGCTCCGCCCCACTGCTGAGGCACACTGGCATTGCTCGGTGTCGCCGATTTTACTGCTCGGCTCCATCCAAAGCTGACATTGATCTGGGATGGGGAGTGTGGAATGTTCTGAGATCCGGAAATACCTTCCCTGAGTCTCCAGGACGCGATGGAATTATCCAGCATCACATGACTAATCGGCCCACAGGGGGCAGTGTGGGTCAGCGCGAGTATAGAGAATAATGGCCGCCCCAATGATGTGTGCAGTGCAGGTCTGTGACGGGAACTCCACTTTATTGTCCATCGGGGGACAGGACGTCTTTAACCTTCGGGTTATACTGCCGCCTACAGAAGGATTGGACACCAGCAAATAAAACTAATCCATCCAGTATGACCCCGCCTACTCCCAGCATGCACAGGTTTTTTTTGCTGGTGTCCTAGGAGGGTAGACCTCTTCAGCTCTGCCTCATCAGATCCCAGCTTGGTGTGTCAGGTGACCCCTGAGCTGCCGGCAGTCCCCAGGTTCTGGGGTTCAGGTTGTCCGCCCCTCGGTTAGAGGGCTTCTGGATGTCCCAAAGGACAGTCTTCCTGTGTTCCTCAATAGACGAGAAGGAAATGTATCGCGCCCCCCCAGTCTGTGACCATCACCTTCTAGTATCCCATATAGACCTCAACATGCTGAACATTGTGTGGCCCTTTTGGAGACATCAGGGGCAATGTTTGAGGGCCCCCTATACCTCTATGGTGACAATCACAGCCTCAGGTTGTACTGTTAGTTTCTGCAATGATGGTCTTCTGTCTTCCTCCTCCTCTCCAGGCCCTGCTCCAGAAGATGAAGAGCCGAGGGTTCCCCTGGTTCCGGCTCGGCCTCATAGCGCTCGTCTTCTTCTCCGGTTTTCTCATCCACGATGTCCGGACAAGTGGCTCCATTCAAGGTCAGTTTGCGCAATCAATGCCACTCCTTTTATATTCACGATGGGAGGAGTTGGAACCTCGGGGGATGGGCTTTATCTGTCTGAGGTTTCATTGGGATTTGCCCTCCATGCTGCTGATGAATGGCTCACCTATCATACACCTATGGAGCGTCGTAATGCCGGCGTACCGATATTTCAGGTGAACATCTTCACAACCCCGCCCCACCCCACCCCCCGAATGTA